TTCAGTGTAGATAAGTGTTAAGAGAAATGCACTGGAAGAAAATAATTCAAATCACACTAACAAAATATTGGGTTCTGGGCTACCAAAATACTACAACAACAACAACAACAACAACAACAAAAACCTAGAACAAATACAATTTTTTTTTTACAGAAAATATCTATTCTATGTTCTCTCTAGGATTGTAGCTTAATGCAAGGAACTGTAAAGGGAGACTATATCCAACATAACTTAGAAATGTTGTTTTCAGATATCAAAAACAAGCAGATATTGACCATGAAAAGATAAGGAATTTTTTTTTTAAGATTTTATTTATTTATTTATTTGACAGATAGAGATCACAGGTAGGCAGAGAAGCAGAGAAGAGAGAGGAAGAAGCAGGCTCCCTGCTGAGCAGAGAGCCCAATGCTGGACTTGTGACCCTGGGATCATGACCTGACCTGAAGGCAGAGGCTTTAACCCACTGAGCCACCCAGGTGCCCCAAGATAAGGAATTTCTTTTCTTTTTCTTTTTCCTTTTTTTTTTTTTTTTAAGATTTTATTTATTTATTTGACAGAGAAATAGAGAGCACAAGTACACAGAGCAGCAGGCAGAGGGAGAGGGAGAAGCAGGCTTTCTGCTGAGCAGGGAGCCCAATGTGGAACTCGATCCCATGACCCTGGGATTATGACCTGAGCCGAAGGCAGCCACTTAACCAACTGAGCCACCCAGGTGCCCCGATAAGGAATTTCTTATGTGAAAAAAATATATATAAAAAATCAATGGGGGCGCCTAGGTGGCTCAGTGGGTTAAGCCTCTGCCTTCCACTCAGGTCATGATCTCAGGGTTCTGGGTTCGAGTCCCACATCGGGCTCTCTGCTAGGCAGGGAGCCTGCTTCCTCCTCTCTCTCTCTGCTTGCCTCTCTGCCTACTTGTGATCTCTTCTGTCAAATAAATAAAGTCTTTAAAAAAAAATCAATGAATGAAAAGGTAAACATTTACAATTAGGCTTACACAAATAGAAATGGATTTATCTTTAATATACCTATCACTTTGAAAACTCCTATCAAAGATAACAATTACTTTAAACAGTCATTCATAACAGTGAGGGTTGGGGAATATTCCATAAATCATAACTTCAAACCATAAACCAACTTTCATAACCATAATTTCATTTTAATGAAATTGCTTCAAATCTCTGATGCCTGTTCCACTTATTATCATTTTCTCCCATAGTTTGGTTTCTTTAGCATAGTTAAATTGTAACCTGAATGGTACCTAGCAATGATCCACAATAGGGCATTCTAATTTTTATTGTGCAACGATTTGTAAACCGTGGATCACGTCCACTTTAAACGTAAGCAACACCAGTGATGACTCTCAGGAAACCAGTGCTGTGTGGCTCTTTCCTACAGTGCTAAGATTTATAGCCCAACATGTTTTTGTTTTGTTTTTAAGTCTTTGAAAGACTAAGATTGAGTTGCAAAAGGATTAATACACCACCTGCTCGTCAACCTTAGTTTCAGAAACTGTTGTCTTATTTAGAGGGAAACTTAAAGTTTGGGGAGATCTGAGAGGAAGATTTATTTTTTACTTGATAACTCCCTACTGTTTAATTTTCTTTATGTATTTTTACCATGTGCATTATTTATTACATTACAATAACCACAAACCACAACTTAAAGAAAACATAAAACACAGCTACAATTTTAAAAAGTACATAAGTAGGGGGTTTTTGTATCTGCCTTGGAGATAGTGCTTTCCCCAAAGGTCCATAGAACTTGCCTATATTCTTTTTTCTTTTTTTAAAGATCTTTTTTATTTATTTAAGAGAGAGTGCCCACAAGAGAGCAAGCTTTAGCAGGGAGAAGGGCGGAGGGAGAGGGAGACAAGTAGACTCCCCACTGAACCAGGAGCCCAGACAAGGGGCACTGTTCCATCCCAGGATTGATCCTGGGATCACGACCTGAGCTGAATGCAGACACTTAACTGACTGAGCTACTCAGGAGCCCCCTAATATTCTTACTATAAAATTCTCTATTGTATTCTGTAAAAACAAAGCCGAATGTCTACATAGTCAATAAGAACAAGTTAATTTTCTGTATTCCCAGGGTCATGGTATCAAGAATAAACCAGACTCTTCAACATTCAAATCTCATTTTAATTAGATATTTTGATCACACCCCAAGAAACTTTTTGTTAAAGCTGCTAATGAGAAATAAAATGGGCTAAGTCAAATTGAGTTTAATTGTCTCATTTCTTAGCCTCCAAGGTCCAATGAATGTGCCATGAACAGTGAAAATGCTTTTTTTTTTTTTTTTTTAGAAAAAGAGCAGAGAGCTGGACAAGTATTAGAGGGATTCAGCCACTAGGTGAGAAAGAATTGGCTGTGTTTAGGCTCTGAGGTTAAGGTGCTAGGAAACAAAGCAGGCACAACTCACCTGGAGTCCAGCGTCCAAATCTGACCCGGAAATGAAACCCAGATAAATTGACTAATGTTATCTGTACTCATGTGTGGCTCAATTGTACTGGTAAATTAACTTATTTTGAATAGTGGGCAAAGAGATCTAGTTCACCTTCATTCCTTTCTTGGTGAGGAAGGAAGGCCCACTCAGGGATCCAAAGCCTGGCTCTGAAATTGTTCTAGAGAAGTCCAGATCAGAGTCTCGGATCTCTACGTTCATCAAAATCCAGTAAAAGCATTTTCTTTGTCCTTCAGTTCTACGTTGGTTCAGAGAAATGGAACCAGTTATGGCGAACTTAAAAACAGCTTGCTGAGGTGGCGCCTGGGTGGCTCAGTGGGTTAAAGCCTCTGCTTTCGGCTCAGGTCATGATCCCAGGGTCCTGGGATCGAGCCCCATGTCAGGCTCTCTGCTCAGCGGGGAGCCTGCTTCCTCCTCTCTCTGACTGTTTCTCTGCCTACTTGTGATCTCTGTCTGTCAAATAAATGAATAAAATCTTAAAAAAAAAAATAAAAAAATAAAACAGCTTGCTGACAAAGCCATTGGTTTTCCTTTAAGACTTTTCAACATGCATTTAACTTGATGTTTTGTGTAACAAAATTCAGGGGTTGGAAAATTTCCCAGGATAATCTACACTAGAATACATAACCTCTGCACATAGTCCAGATATCTCTCCAATTCCCCTTAATATTTCATATTTGTGGTTTTCAGTTAGGATGGGATGGGCTTGACCTGTGTACTCTTAGTTTGGAAAATATCCCACGGTGATTTGAATATATAGTAGGTCTGCACCTGCCCACTCCTGGTGTACACTTGATACACACACACACACACACACACACACACACACACAATCTGGGTCTATATCATTATGTCAGATTTTACTCTATTCCAGTATAGTCCATTACAGTAGACAAGTCATCCACCAACTGAATGGATTTTATCAAGCTTATTTTTCTTGGGTTATATTAGGAAAACAGGGGTGCCTGTGTGGCTCAGTTGGTTAAGCATCTGCCTGCAGCTCAGGTCACGATCTTGGAGTCCAGGGATCGAGCCCCACATTGGGCTCTCCACTCAGCAGTGAGTCTACATCTCCCTCTCTGATCTCTCAGTTTCTCTCAAATAAATAAATAAAAATCTTAAAAACAAAACTATTATGTTAGGAAAATAGTAGTCATATTCTTAAAATTGCATATGGTCTCCCACCCTGAGAACCACTGTTCTAAGTTTTCTATTCAGTTCTTCTGCTAACAGCAACATTGTCCTAAAGATATTCCTCACACCTCTATGATGGCAAAATTCCTATTCTTAATGATGTAATATGACATTACAGAAGATTGCTCAAATACATCTTGAGTGAGTTTCTACATAAGTATAATGTCTCCATAATATATTGTGGAATTTGCCACTATTTATTGATTGACATTGCCACTACTTTTATGGTTCTGGCTTCCAAAAAATTGACTCACTTTTCACAAAATTGCATTTGGCATAGGAAGGCACCAGTTGTCTTTGGACGGCAATGACAGGGGCTAAGATTAAAATTATAATTCTCTACTGATACAGCCATGGAATAAAACAAAATGTTCACATTTTATTTAAAATAAGCATCTTTACTAAAATTACTCCACAACATTTATTATTTAAAAATATTTTAAGGCCACTTTTAAAAGTAAAGAGATTTAGGACCTTTATTAATAAACCCAGAGGCAGCTGCCCCAGGAGGTCTGTGCTGGGTCCAGAGAGCAGAAGCCTTGTAGCCAGGCTCTTGATGAGGCCCACTTGAACTCTGCTACTTTAATTTTGAATTCTTTCTTGAGGTTTCTTACTTCCTTTATGAATTCTAATTTATTTTGGTCTTTCATTTCTTGTATTATTTTCTTCATGCATTTTAACCTCATTTTGAACTAATATAGTGCTTTGGACCTGCTTTCTCGAACATGTCTTTCGGGTATGCTTTTATTGTCTGTATGGATGTCATTATACACCTTATTCTTTTTTCTTATAACTTCAAATGCCATCAGACCTTGATTTTTTTCTACTGCTCATTTTTATGTGAATTGAAGTTTCTTGAACTTGAAGAAGGAAGGCTGGTTCAGATAGTATTTATAACTGCGGTTGTTAAAAATAGGGCAGTTTGCTTTTCGAGGTTTCCTGAATATTTCCCTCTCCCACATTGGTCTGGACCTTCTCTTCCTTCTTTGCTGTTCCCATCCTGCTGAATTTTCATGGTGTGCCCAGCCATTTTTCTTCACCGTGAGACCCTAGCCTCCAGATGAAACAAATGGGTCAGTTTTGAGAGGTTGTGGCTTTAAACCACCCTGGTCCCTATCGGCCTTCCCTTGAGATCCTCAGTGTCATAGCCACCCACTAGCTGTGTGACCTTGGACAAACTGCTATATCTTCTTGTGCCTCTGCTTCCCTATCTGAAAAACGGAAAAAGTAATAGCCTAAGGAGTTTTCATTCAAGGTGGTTAAAATACCGTTTGACTAGCAGTGATCACTTTTTGAATGTTTAATAAATAAAATACCCATCTGCACCTTCTTTATGAACTCACCTTTAAGTTGTAGAAGCTCTCAGGTCAATTGATGGCAACTATCCAAAATCCTCAGTGCCTCAGGAAGTCTGATCATGTGATAACCATAGTTAAGGCTTTGATTTACTCAGTCAACATACCTCACATTATTTTGGTTTTAATAAAAAAAAAAATCAAAAGAAAAGAAAGCTGCTTAGTGTCTTCCTACTGAGAACAAAAATGCCCTTGTCTCCAGAGGTTAGTCATTTCTCATTATATCTACTTCACTTTTGTTGCTCCCTAGACTCTCTGGGAACTAAGAGGTCATTTTATGTGTATATAATCAAATAGGACTTCTTAATACCTGGTACTATTAGCAAATGTTTGGCAATCTTTTTAGAAAGGCCCTGAGAAGACTTTCCTTAAAAACCTAGGGCATTGGGACACCTGGGTGGCTCAGTGGGTTAAGCCTCTGCCTTTGGTTCGGGTCATGATCTCAGGATCCTGGAATCAAGCCCCACATCAGGCTCTCTGCTCAGTTGGGAGCCTGCTTTCCCCCCTTTCTCTGCCTGCCTCTCTGCCTACTTGTGATCTCTCTCTCTCTCTCTCTCTCTGTCAAATGAATAAATAAAATCTTTAAAAAAACAAAACAAAACAAAACAAAAACCTAGGGCATTAATGAAAGCATTTTGAAATTTTCATTTTTTACAGTTAATGATTTACTGCTGCAGATTTCTATTATTTATCGTCAGTATCCTATCTCTTTAACTTTTGATCTTATTTTTCCTTTTTTAGCAACTTTACTTTAAAACATGTAAATACAAAACAACAAAAACAACAACAACTAACCAACCAGGTTTTTGAAATTCAGGTTGCCGAAAAGTATTTTTTTTTCATCAGCCTAGTATTTATCAAGGAAAATATGACCAACGAAAAAAGTATGTATGGTTAGGGGCTCATGACAACTAAATGTAATGTGTGATCTTGGTATGAATCCTGAACCAGAAAAATTTTTTTCTTTTTCTATAAAGAAAATTATTGGGAAAATTAATGGAATTTAAACAATGTCTACAAATAACAATTCTGAATTAATTTTCCTGATTTAGATAAATACACTGTGATTCTATAAGAGAATGAACCTAGAACATTTCAGGTAAAGAGTCATCATGCATGTAACTTATTTTAAAAGAGTTCGGAGAAAGAGCCAAGATGTCAAAGCAAATGTGGTAAAATGTTAACATTTGGGGAATCTGGGTGAAGGGTATATGAAAATTCTGTGTATTGGTGTCTCAAAACTTCAGCAAAAATCTGAAATGGTTTCAAAATTTTAAAAATGTTTTAGAAGTTTGGGAGGTTAAGAGCAGAAAAATAGCAAGGTCAATGTCCTGAAGGTTTATTTGAGCACTTACAACATCCTTGTTACACATGTTAATGTTACACATGGAACACAAAACCCTTATATTGAAAGAAAACGTGGGAACTTAGACTGCCTCAAATAATTGGCTCAGGAGACCTCTACAAAATCTCTCCCTCTCCCTAAAGGTACTCACTTTAATAGGTGCACTGTTTGGTTCAATAAACTCCCATTCCATATTAGCAGAATCAATGATATCCCAGTGATCTAATAACTCAGGTTAATGCCATTAGAAATACCAGCAATATCAGATCAGCAGAGGTGAAAGTGAGTTATTATGATAGTCTGTTGGTGGTATTTAGATTGATATAACCTAGTGTAATCTTTTGAGGAACAATCAGGTTGTATGTGTCACATTTTAAATGTCTATACCCTTTGACTCAGCAATTCTACTTTTAGAAATTTATCCTAGGGAAATAGTGGGGCAAGTGAACAAAGATGTATATTGAAAGATGTTCACCATCACAGCAAAGAACAGAAGACATACGTGTCCATCAGTAGGTAGTTAAATAAATTATGGTTTATCCATACAAGAGAGTATTCTTCAGTATATCCTTAATATATTAAATGAGAAAGCAAAACTAGTATATATAATATGATCCTATAATATTTACGTTCCTTATTTACATTTGAAATAGGAATATTTTACAGCCTTTTTTTTTAGATTGAAGGAATACATGCTAAAAAGAGTTGTGGGTAGGGAGGTATTTAGGAGAATATACACTGCATTATCCAGTGCAGACTATATAATTTGCAAGGCCCAGTAGAAAATGAAAATGTGGAACCCCTTGTAAAAAATCAAAACTTTCAAGATAGTGACAACTGAGCATTAAACCAAATGTGGGGCCCTTCTCAATGCAGGGCCATGTGAGACTATAAGCTGCATGCCCTTGAAGCTGACCCTGGCTATACACTCTGCTTTATACTTAGGTATATGCTACACTGGACCATACATTACACTGTACGATATCACTAAGACTCACACTACACTAGTGGTAACATACGAAGAGGTGGTTAGAGATATATGTGTTATCTATCTCTGCCCCACTCCACTCCTGTTGTTATTTTGGGTATTATAATAAGAGCAGTACTTTGTGATAAAGACAGTCCAAAGTGTGTTTAAATTATTCCTAAAAGAAGCTAGCACATTAAGGGTGCTGAGATTAACAATTTGCTGATGTACCTTTGGAACTCTTTGCATGCCACAAGAGTGCCTCCAAGAGGACTAGCAGAGATTCAATGAGACAAAGATGTGCAGCACTCAAAAAGATTTCTGTGGCAAATTTTAATTACTTTTAATGAGGTTCTATGATAATGACTATCAGGACAGACAAATGATGGGTAATTTTTCCATCTTTTCATATGACAAGTAGAAATAAAAGAAAAAAAAAACAAGAACAAAAACTATAAAGGAATTTCCTATTTCTAGAAATTAAATAGGTCTCCTAGGCCACCCATGCATGAATGTTTTTCTACTGCTCTAAATGGTTCTGTGATATCCTTGAATTAACCAAATAATATTACTCGTTATTAGTTGACTTGATCTGTCTACAAGTTAAATGCCTCCTCTGATGCTTCTATTTATAAATAGAACTAAAAACCTGGGAGGTCTAATTTGGGATCAGTATGGTAGCTTATGTTCTGCTATGTAGAACATCAAGGTTTGATTAGTCAGATCTTAGGATTGAAGCCAAAAGGCAAGAAAACAAGACATTTTAATATCTAGTGGGCTCTAAATAAGGTGGGTTAACCCCTACCGGGCTCTGATTTTCATTAGTTATAAAGACAAAAACTTTTAACAGGGCCTTATGATGTTGGGATAAGTACTAAAAGAAAGGACAAAGGTTTCCAGGACTCAACCAAATGGGAAGGCTGAGAAAAACATTAAAAGATTTGTTGTTAAATACTTTTCTGCAGTCCATGTCAGTGGTCAAAGTCTAAATAATACTCCAGGAGCTACAGACCTTTGATTTCACAGGTATCTGGAGAATCTGCTGAAGCTATTTGAGTTCTCCAAGAGACTTCAGGATTTTGTATAAGATAGTGACAGAACTATAAATAGAAAACTGATAAATTCTATGAGGTATTGTGAATTTCAGGACTAACTTCTGTACTTAAAAAAGTCTTCTATCTTGTATAGTTTTGTAGTTCATCTTCCTGAATTATAGGTGTATACGTGGTACCATATGCCACACATCATCTCTACTCAGTAATAAATAAAAACTAATAAATACATCAGAGTCCTCCTCATATGTGATAATCCAAGGTAGCTGCCTCTTTTATGGCATCAGTTCTGTCTTTATTCAAATTATTAAAATCATTCACATTCATGAGGATTTTCATCAGTCTGACTAGCACTACTATTCTCTCAAAATTCAAAACAGGGGTGGTGGGGTTATGGACATTGGGGAGGGTATGTGCTATAGTGATTGCTGTGAAGTGTCTAAACCTGGCGATTCACAGACTTGTACCCCTGGGGCTAATAATACATTATATGTTTATAAAAAAATTAAAAACAGGACCCCAAACATAGATGTAATATATTATAGTTGGTAGAAATCTATTATTTTCACAAATGCAAAAAATAGCCCTATTTAATGCCCTTGCCCTTTGTATTCTCCATAGATGCCTATCTGGTTCAACCTTAAGTATCACAATGACTTTTTAAGTAATATTATATATATGCTTGTTTAATATGAAGAACTTTGTAACGATATTCTCTGAAGACTGAATGGGCTATGATTCAAAAAATATTGAGCTCCCTGTTAATGAATGTGTTGCACATGATGAAACCACTGAAGTCAGAATTCAAGCACAAATGAGGGGGTTGGTGTAGATAACATGTATGCTCTCTTCTAACTCTAAGACATCATGAACATGAAACACTTCTTACCTTTCTTGAACAAAACAGAGGATGGTAGCAGAGAATGGAGAGAAGGCAAATGAGAGAAACACCATAAAGATATTCTATTTATTCAATACAAGTTGCCACTCTTTGAACATGGAACCCAGGAGAAAAGAATAAAAAATCAAAAACACTTAATATTTTCAGTTTAAGAAACTACATATAGGGGCGCCTGGGTGGCTCAGTCAGTTAAGCATCTGCCTTCAGCTCAGGTCATGATCTCAGGGTCCTGGGATGGAGCCCCACATCAGGCTCCCTGCTTAGGTGGAAGCCTGCTTCTCCCTCTCTCTCTGATCCTCCTCTGGCTTGTGTTCTCTTTCTGTCTCAAGTAAATAAATACAATCTTAAGAAGGAAAAGAAAAAAAGAAACTACATGTAGATTAGTGCCATTAGGTTTTTTTTTCTTTTTTTTTTTTTTTTTAAGGAATCCATGCTGAACAGGGAGACTAAACCATGGAGATACTGGGATTTGCTTGTTTGTTGGTATCAGAGATGGTTCCTGGAGATCAGTGCAGATGTGGCAGGGGACTCCATTCCTGACTAAATGTAAGGGCATGGCCCTAAGGCGGAAGCTAGTAGAGGGAAACCAGAATGCCTGGCAAATGGGCTGCAATTGAGCAGAGGAAGAACAGTTAAGAGACAAGTTTTGCCTCTTTGGGAAGTGACTCAAGAAGGGAGACACAGGCCTGAGCCTTCAAGGAATGAGGAAAGGCAGCAGCAGAGGATATGAGATTTAACTAACAGCAAGGAACTTGGACTAGACTTCATAGGCTCAGTGGAGTCAGTCTTTTAAGAAAAATGTCATCAAGAAAATGGCATTTGAGAAAACTCAAGAGAAAAGCTTGGGAACAGAAAGGAACCCAGGAAAATAATGCATAAATCTATTTAAAAAGTGAAATGAAATTGGCTAAATTCTGTCCTTGAAACATTATTTAGCACATTTTTTTAGTTAAGTCTATAACCAATTGGGGTTTTCAGTCTTCCAGCTGGTTCTAAAGCACCTTAAAGTTTGAGAACCACTGCCTTAGACATTTCAGAACTAGACCTCTTTGGAGCCTGTTTAGGAAAAAAAAAAAATTCTGTTTTCTGTCTATTCACAGTACTATTCTCATTTCTGATTACCAATGTGTGGTAGTTTCTTCCTGCCCCAAACGATTCTGTGACACCAGATGGGTGTCCTACAGATCCCACAGGTTAAGGGCTCAGCCCGACAAGACTCAGCACTGCCCCCCCCAACTTCAGACATCATCACAAGTTCAGGCTGTCACCTGTATATCTGACCACCCAGCTATAAATCAGAGATCTATATACCAACCCCACTGGAATGGGGGTTGATTAATTTGCTAGAGCAGCTCATAGAACTGAGGGAAACAGTTTTAAGTATTGGACTACCAGTTTATTATAAAAGGATATAACTTAAGAACAGTCAAATGGAAGAGATGCACAGGGCAAAGTATGGGGAAAGGGGCACAGAGCTTCCAGATCTCTCGGGAACACCTCCATGAGTCCACCAACCCAAAAGCTCTCCCAAGCCATCCTTTTTGGGTTTTTATGGAGGCTTCATTAAGTATGCTTGATTGATTAAATCATTGGCCAGTCCCTCTCCCCTCCCCAGAGGTCAGGGGCAGGGGTTGGACTGAAATTTTGAACCCTCTAATCACACAGTTGGTTCCCCTGGCAACCAGCCCCCAGTGTCCTTAGGGACTTTCCAAAAGTCATTACATTAACATACACTCAGATGTGGTTGAAAGGGGCTTGTTATGAATAACAAAAGACACCCATTTCATTGTGGAGCTGTTTCAGAAGCTGAGAAGGAAAGATACCCCTATAACTGTTACCATTTAGGAAATTACAAAGGTTTTAGGAGTTATGTGCCAGGAACCATGGAGGAAGACCAAATATATATTTCTTAATATAAACCACAATATCATAGAGGCCCAGGGGAGATCTGTGTTATAGGCCAGGGAGGCAGCATGGTGGTTTTGTCTGTTCAGGCTGCTGTAACAAAGTACCACAGACTGGTGCTTATAAACAACAAAAATTTACTCTTTTTAAAAAAGATTTTATTTTCAAGTAATCTCTTCACCACTCAGTGTGGTACTGGAACTCACAACATCAAGATCAGGAGTCACGTGCTCTTCCAACTGAGCCAGCCAAGTGCCCCCAGAAATTTATTTCTCACAGTTCTGCAGGCTGGAAAGTCCAAGATCAAGGCAGTAGCCAATTTGATGAGAACACATTCCCTCGTAGACCCCCATCTTCTCACTAACCTCACTTGGCAGAAAGATCTCTGAAGGGCCCACTTTCTAAGGGTACTAATCCCATTAATGAGGGTTTTACCCTCATGACCTAATTACTTCCCAAAGGCCCCATCTCCAAACACCATCACTTTGGGGATGAGGTTTCAACACATGGATTTTAGGACACAAGCCTGCAGCCCATAGTAACGGTCAACTAGAAACAGCGGGAGTTTAGCAGCTAGTCAGACCTGAAACCAAACTGGGGCTCCAGCACAAGTTAGTTGTATAGGGTCTTGAGCAAGTTGCTCAGCCTATCTGAACTTTGGGTTCCTTATTTAAAAAGTGGAAGTAATAATGCCTACCTTAAAAATTTAACCGTGAACTGTGATGTTTATGTGCCTATATGGTAATCAGGAGTGCTGGCTCTGGTGTCCACCCCATTTCAAATGCCAGGTTTTCTGCTTATAAAGTGACCTTGGACAAGTCACCAATCCTCTCTGTTCTTCAGTTTTCTCATCTGTAGAGTGAGTAATAACATACTTGCCTTATAGTGTTGTTTGGAGGGTTTAATGACTTAATATATATTAATTGCTTATAAGACTGCCTGATACAAAATTGCTCAACAATGTTTATAATAGTAAGAATATAAATAAAAACATGATAATAATATCTCATGTACATAGAACACCTAGAATATGGTAGGTACTCAATATAATTACTGTCATTATAAAATCCTTTCTCATAAAACATACGGTTATAAGAGGTTCCAGTATATAGGCACCCCCTGATACTTTCATATGGTCTTTACATTCTAATGTCTTCCATCCCCCCTGAATAAGCTCTGTGTATCACAATAATAGCAATTTCCTGGTTTGGATAGTGTACTGTAGTTATACAAGATGCTACCATTGGAGGTGCCTGAGTGAGGGTTACGTAGGGCCTCTTTCACATTTTAACTCCTATGAATCTGAAATTATTTAGAAATAAAAAGGAAAAAAAATATATATATATAGGGTAAGGAGCTTACCTGAAGTGAGAAGTATTGGGGCAAGAGGTTGAACCCATACCTTATCCACCCCCAGTTCTTTATTTACCAGCCCCTAGAATCCTAAGCTTCCTCTTTACCAGCATAAGTTACTGGAAAGGATGGGAGTCTGAATGGTAAGAGGCTAGGCCAGGCATCAGGTAAGGTATGAACTTGCAGAATGTCTGATGCATGGAATTCTAATGTAAGGAACATCGTAATCCTTATAACTTCAGTACCTAGACAGTTCCTGGTGCATAGAGGTAAAGATAAGAGATGTGCTCTTCCTTATCAAAACTGCAAATCCAGGGGCACCTGGGTGGCTCAGTGGGTTAAAGCTTCTGCCTTCGGCTCAGGTCATGATCCCAGGGTCCTTGGATTGAGCCCCGAATCGAATCGGGCTCTCTGCTCAGCGGGGAACCTGCTTCCTCCTCTCTCTACCTGCCTCTCTGTCTACTTGTGATCTCTGTCTGTCAAATAAATAAAATCTTAAAAAAAAAATTGCAAATCCAAATATTTTCCTCATAGAAATACTGCTGCATAATGTGATCAGGCTTTGTGATGTTCATGGAAGTCGTTTATGGATTAAATAAGCCTTTGTAGGCTAACCTGAACACGTATCCACTAATCATGACCGTGTTTCTATGCATATATTTCAAAGAACTAATCTCCAAGCAAACTTCTGAAATACTAGCAATTTGTAAGTCATTATACGTAGTTGCTGCTATTAACACAAAAATGTTTGAGGAGTGATAGTGATCATTCTAGGCTCACTGATTTCAAGTTTCCAAATAGTGTTCTGCCTAACACTAATGTCTTAAAGTTCCCACTACCACCCACCTGTAAGTTCCTAAAATTGTTAAGACCAAGAAAACTTTTTTTTTTTTTTAAACAAACATTTACTAATACTGGGAAGTTCTGAGGAACTCTCTGTTTGAGAGAAACTGCTCTAAGTCACATGATCAATCTTCTTGACCATTTGGCTTTTAGATGGCTCCTTCTGTAGTATTTATTTTTTAAAAATTAAAAGCATTATTTTAGGCCAAATAAAAAGCAAGTTAGAAAATCTACTAGGCTGTCTGCCAGGTAGCAATACAAATAGATATCAATTAGTCATCAATGATTTGTACTCAAGAATTATAAGTTTTCTCCCATTAATTAGTCAAAACTGAATTAAAAAAAAAACTAAGTTAAAGAAAAACTGTGTGGCTCATCTCTTTCAATCAAATTAATACCCACAGGTAGCCTTTTAATCCATCATCTTTTACCATCTAGGAACTTCAGTCAGAGTAAAGAAGTAGTTTTTTCCAGAGTTCTCAAGTTGTAAGTCAGAAAAATCCTGGCAATAAAGAGGATAAATGAAGCCCCCCATTCCTGACTAGCTATGTTTTCCTAAGAAAATAAGGTGTATTACCAAAGGTCTAATGTTTTTCTCTCAAAAAACGAACCAGTCCAACTATAAAAAACACATATCACATTTTTAAAAAAGATTTTATTTATTTATTTGTCAGAGAGACAGAGAGGGATACAGAGGGAGAAAGCATAAGTAGGAGCGGCAGGAAGAGAGAGAAGAAGACTCCCTGCTGAGCAAGGAGCCCACTGCAGGACTCGATCCCAGGACCCTGGGATCATGACCTGAGCCAAAGGCAGACGCTTAACCAACTGAGCCACCCAGGCATCCCACAAATTAAATTTTAGTTAAGATTTAGCAACAGATAAAATTGCTTCCTGTTTCAGCATATACTACCCAGTTCTGCTCAAGAAATCATACATAATTCCCCAAACAGAAAATGAAACTATAAGATCCATATTATAGATTAAAGAAACACTCCACAGTCTTTAATTTAATGTATGAATCATGAGAATACTCCAAATTGCTTGAATGAATTATCAATTATAATTCTTTTTGAAATTACATTTGATCAACTAAAACCTGTATAAACCTTCAAAATCCTTTCACAAATCTCTGCTGCAAAGAAAATTTCTTTATTCCAAAAGTGACCAAGAGGAGAATTTCATGACACATTCATTGAAAGCAAGGATCTCCATAATAATTTTAGACTTCTTATACTAAAGTAGAATAAGTCAGGATATGATGTTACCTAACCTTGAATATCCTATTTGAAAACAGGTGTTATATATAGGTTTTATAGTTTGATTATAACTATATTTCATACACACAAAAAAGTCTGTTGAAATGGTATTGATGGCTGCATTTACTTCCTTAGTTCTGCAAGTTCAATTTCTGAAATCTCCTAACTACAGTTAGAGCTACCATATCTTGCCAATTAGGTTGCCAATATGCATTTAGAGCTATTACCAACACCTGGAAGAACTTCTTTACCCTTCTGATAAACTAGGTATGTTCTATCTGGGAAGAACCGAAAGTACAGAACAGTTATAATTTCAAATGAAAAATTTAGGCCAGCAAACCTAAGCATTGTAATTACGCATAATTGTTCCACTCTGCAAAGTGTGTCACAACTATTTTTAAACATATAGGGGGAGTCTGCCCTGAAGCCTGTCTGATCTACTCCCTGAACTTTGTCCCTGGACTAAGCATGACACAAAATTAAGAATTCTTAGAAGGGACCCAGTGTAAATTAAAAGCACTAAGAACTTGGGATGCCTGGGTGGCTCAGTCGGTTAAGCGGCTGCCTTCTGCTCGGGTCATGATCCCAGTGTCCCGGGATCCAGTCCCACATTGGGCCCTTGCTCCGCAGGAAGCCTGCTTCTCCCTCTGCCTCCGCCTGCCACTCTGCCTGCCTGTGCGTGCGCACTCACTCTCTCTGACAAATAAAAATAAAATCTTAACAAATATATATATTTAAAAGCACTAACAACTTAATCCACATTCTTAATCAAAAAGTGATGGCTTGTTTTTTAACTTATGGAACATTCATTAAAAAAAGCTGAGATTCAGGTCCTGTGTTTGACAAATAGTCACTGACGGCATACCATATGCGAAGTACTACTAGGTGCCGAATACATACATGATACGGAACAAAACAAGTATGTTCCTTGACTTCAGAGAAGTTGTTGTTTAGAGAGGAAGACAGACCTTAGAAAGACATTAAATAATAATAATAAAAGAAAATAAATCATTTTGTTGTATTTCCTGTTTGTACTGCGTCCCTCTCAGTGGGTAACTGTGATCACACCCTTCTCTTTAGGGGTATTCTGCAGAGAAACTCAAGTTTTTGTTTAATTACCAATCAGTTGTAGCTAGGAGAAACAGACATAGGATGATAGACAATTTGATAAACTTCATCATGAAAGCTATCACGGAATTTATACCAAGAAGTACAAAATATTCGTTTATATATGAATGTCGACAGGATAACATATTCATAGGGTGGGAATTCAACCAGTAATTTGTTTTACAGAATTCGGTTCATAACAAAAATCCATAATGGTGGCGCGCGCGCGCGCACACACACACACACTCCATCTTTTCAACTGAACTTTCTTATCCTAAACTTTTTTTGAAAACATCAGTGCTCCAGTGTGCAATGTTACTTCAATTAAATTATTCTTTGGAGAATAGGATCTATGATGAACTTCATTTATATTTTAAGATCTGCAATGAATTTACATTCAGGTTAACCTTCAGTGTGAATTATTTCCAGGTACAGCTTCCGCTCCGCTAGGCGTTTGAAAGTATACTTTTGAAGGTATTCAGATCAGTAAGGAAGTGGGAGGAAAGGGGAGGGCGAGGAGTAAAAGTTCCCGAAAGAAATCCCCATACCTCGCCAAATTTAAACACACCCAATACTCCTACACGGCCCCCTTTCCTTACGACCTGAGTTTTTTGCTGCCTACTTCGTTTCCTGCATATTTGAAGTGCTATTAATTGGTAAATATATTTTTAAACCATTCCTTCCCACTTTTTCTGAAATATTTGAACACGTTCCTTCGTAGCTTGTGTTATTTCTGCGTCTAGTAATTATATTCTGATACAAATGTATATCCTTGGGAATTCATTTTCTTCCTCAACAGTTACAATACTACATTATTATGTCAGGTGCCACAGTCACCGCCTTACAGAAGTTAGTACTTTCTGGCCAAGTAACTTTTTTTAACTTTCTAAAACGAAATACCTAAGAGGCGGTTATCATTACCGGATCGTCAGCGCTTCCCAAGGTCCTACCTGTTTCGGGGACGGTCTGAAAGGATGAATCAGATTTGCGTACTGCGTCCTTTCCCTTTTCCACCCACTGTCCCTCTCGCTTTCCGCCGCGACTCCCGAACGCACGTCACCCCAGCGGGTCCAAACTCTATGGCCTTGCTCTCAAACGGCGGGGACCCCCAGCCTGGGAATGGACCTTGGGGAGTGGGGGAAGGGCGTGCCCCCACCGGACTGAGCCAATGTGCATCTCCTACTTCCTGTAAAGTCAACGGAGCGCGCAAGCAATGCCCTGAAAGAGAAGGAGCACCGGAAAAAAAAAAAAATACTTTAACTCCGTTTCAAACCTAGAACACAGAGATCTGGGGCGGCCGGACTAGAGCAACCAACTCGCTCCCGGGTCTCTCCTTCCCCTTCCCCGCCTCCCCTCAAGTGGTCCAATTCTCTTTCGCTTCCTCCCCGTAGCTCCCGAGGCACGTGGTCGCTCCCCGCCCTGCCCCCGCCGCGCCCCTCCCAGCCCTCCAGTCCTCCGGCCCTTCCTCCCAACGCTGCTCTCTTCCCCTTTCCGTTTTCTCTTCCGCCCCCGCTCTCCATCGTCCTTTTTGATTGGTGGAGCGCACCGGAGCCTGGTTGGCCAATCGGCGAACTGGGCTGGCGGTGATGGGCGTGGTCGCGGCTCCGGGGCCCTCAGATCGAGGCTGCCTCCCCCTTCTCAGCCGGCAGCACATTCCGCCGCCGTTGCCGCCGCCCGGCCCCGCAGTTGTCTTCGTCGGAGCTGCGGTCGCGGTGGGGTTAGGGCGGGGGGGGCGGGCGGGGAGAGGAGGAGAAGGCCGCGGCGGAGGCAGGTGAGAGGAGGAAGGAAGCGGCGGCCCGGCGGGCATTGCAGCTCAGGCGGCGGCCCGGTTCCTGGGAGTGTCGGTGCGGCGTGGTGGTTGGGGCGGATCCCGCGGGGCCCGGGCGGGGGAAGGAGTCACCGGCCCGGCCATGGCGGACAACGAGAAACTGGACAACCAACGGCTCAAGAATTTCAAGAACAAAGGCCGCGACTTGGAGGTAAACTCGGGGGCGCCGGAGGGGTGGGGGCTGTGGGCCTCGGGCCGATCTCCGCCGGGACTCCCGAGTGTGGGGAGTAGGGGCGGGTGCCGCCGCCGGGCCGCGGGGGAATGGCGCTGGGGGCCGGCCAGTCCGTGACGCCTCTGCGAACGCGCCGGGAAGTTTGTGTCGGGCCTGGTCCACCTCCGCCCGGGAGCGAGGTGCTGGGGTACGGCCGACGCGGCCTAGGCCTGCCCCGGGGAGCCGGCCCGGCGCGGGTGCGAGGGGCTGGGCCGCGCGGCGGGGCGGCCGGGCGCGGCGAGTGCGGAGGAGGCGTGCGTGTGCCGCGCTGCCCCGGCCGGGCTGCGGCCCCAGCCCCGGCAGCGGCGGCGATTCCGGCTCTCTCCCGGGCCGCGACGTCTGGCGCCGCGAGGAGGGCGGTGGGAGGTGGGGGGGGGGACGAGTGTGTGGCGACCGAGTGGGGCTCGGAACTTCCCCTGCGGGGTCCGAGTCGTCTCCACTTAAAGGCATTTTTTCTGGTCTTCCCGACTCCCGCTTTACCCCTGCCTCCCCCCAATATCCAAACTACAGGAGTCAACTTCTCCGTTGAAAAAAACACCCCCGGCGTGAGAGGCCATCCTGATGATGCTAACAGTGCCTTCCAGCGGCCTGTGTTTTACTCTGGATATAGCTGATTGAAGATGTGGCTCACGGTGTGCCCTCTTCCAGGCAAAGAATACCCCTTATTTCAGCTTGCTCACAAATCTCTTTATCCCCTCCTGAGAGACCACCAGCTGCATTCTTACATATAAAGTCCACAGGGTTATACAAAGCTGTCATCCTCTAGTCTACAGTATCCTTTCCCTCCACCTGCTGGTGGTGGTAGTGGGGGATGGGGTGGGCTATGGAAGGGCACCATCACGTTTTATTATTTTAAAAAGGTGAAAAAAAAAACCCTTCACAGTTTCTTCGATACAGCTTTTCCCGAGGTTGTTAGGCTACATGAGGTGTGTGGGTAAAACACATACACACACAAATCACAGAATTTTGATTGAAGACTTCTTCCCTTTAGTTTTAAGAGTCTAGGTAAATCTTTTTTTTTTTTTTTTAAATGCTTGCATCCTGTATCTGAATCAGGAGTTTAGCTTATAAAAGATTAGTGGTCAAGTTGTATTTTTTGTATTGTCCCTGTGTCCTTTTTTATACTAAAATCTTGAAATTCCCATCACCTGTTTCTGAACTTTGAGCATTGCTTCACTGAGATAGTAATTATTTTTTGAGCTTTTCACAAAGCCATTCAATCTCTGAGGTAGTTTGTGTTGTTTTTAGCGGGTTTTGTAGTTTGAGGATCTTTAAATATCTGGGGCTGTGGCTGTAGTTCTGTGATTGTTTTAAGGTTAATGTGAGACATCCTGTGATCCTTTTTTTAGTGAAAAAATTTTAACATTTTTATTGAGGTAATTCACATGCCATCCTTAATACTTTAAATGTACAATTTATGATTTTTTCGTTAAATTTACCTACTTGTGTAATGATGTAATGAAACTTTTTTGCTAATATCAATATTTAGAATGAAAAGAATTACAAAATTTAAAAACATAAATACCCTAAGTTATGAATTCCCAAAAAACAGCTATTAGATGCCTGACCGTTTTAATCCTTTCCCTCATGTACATTTCTGGCTGCATTTTTTTTTTTTTAAACAGCTTCATTGAGCTGTAATTCATACACTGTACAATTCACCTATTTAAAGTGGCTTTTGGTGTTTTCACATAATTGTGCAACCATTAGCACAATCAACTCAGGACATCTTTATCATTCCAAAAAGAAATCCTAACTCATGGGTAATCTCTATTGCCCATTACTCTCTTGTCTGTCTGGATTTGCCTGTTCCAGATATTTCCTATAAATGGAATTATACAATGTATGATCTTTTGTGACTGACTTCTTTTAGGTAGCATAATGCTTTCAGGGTTCACACATGTAACAAAAATATAACAATGCCTCCTTCCTTTTTGTGGATGAAAAATATGCTGAATAATATTCCAGCCTATGGATATACCACATTTTGTTTATCCATTCATCAGTTGATGGACATTTGCATTGTTTCCACTCTAGCTATTATGTGAAATGCTGCTATGAACATTTGTGTATACATTTTTGTGTGGACTTGTTTTCAAGTCCTTTGGTTATATACCACTGAGTAGAATTAGTGGGTCATATGGTAACTTTATGTGTAACTTTTTCTGGGATTGCCAGACTGTTATAGTGGTCCTGTTTGTTTTTGTTTTGTTTTGTAAATTGATGTTTCCTCTTACTGTGAATTTCTCATTACTTTAGTCAAAATAAGATTGTGCTGACTCTCTTGAAACAATATTATAGGTGATTTAAAAAAAATAACTATAAATACACATTAACCAGATTTTTTTGAGAAGTTTATAGTGCCTATGGGCATCCCTGATGACTTTGATAACCCTGTGTGTACAAAAGGAATAGGGATCTTTTCACTTAAGGAAATGACTTGACTCTAATGGAAATTATACTTTCTCCTCACTTAGTTAAAGTCACATATACCTGTAATGAAATAGCAACTTCTTTTACCATTCTTAGAGAACACTAGAGTGGTCTATTTTGTGTATTTATTAATTACATATATGTCTGTGTTCCTCAGAATACTTACTATGCCCATAACCGTCCCCTCCAAATATGGTTACTATGTTTTGTCACAACAGATTCTAAGAAAATACTGCTTTTGGTTTAGGTCTTAATGATGACATCTATTTCATTGGGAGGTTTTTGTAAAGGAGTATGGACCTGGGGCACCTGGTTAAGCATCTGCCTTCAGCTCAGGTCATGATCCCAGGATCCTGGGTTGGAGCTCTGGCCCATGTCAGGCTCTGCTCAGTGGGGAACCTTCTCTTCTCTCTCCTCTCCACAAGTTTTCTCTGTTGCTGTCTCTTCCTCTCAAATAAATAAATAAATAAAGTCTTAAAAAAGAAAACAAAAAACAAGAAGTCTGGATCATCGCTGACCAGTGAATTGTATTTAATCCAGTATATCCAAGATACCAATATAACATCAGCAATGTAAACAAATACTGGGATATTTTATATTCTTTTCATAGTAAGTCTTCAAAATCCAGTTTGTATTTTACATTTAAAGTGTATATCAGTTTGTACTAGCTACATTTTGGCTGCTTAATAGCCACATGAAGCTATTGGCTCTCTTACTGGGCAGCACAGATATAGAACAACATAGAATGAGGTAATTGTACCATTTTTCAGTTTGATCTAACATTGTTTGGTTTGAAATAGAGTACAGAGTCCGAGAGTTTAGTGTAATCTGCTGATCTCTAACTTTGTGGGTGACCTTGAGAGAGTCTGTCAGTCTTAGGATTCTTTAATCCGTTAAAATAGAGGTACTTGACATCTGCTTTATTAGTGTTGTGAAAATTAATAGGTTGATGTTAGGAGGATGCCTAGCCGTTGTCTGAGCATTTTATCAATTTTAGATTTTCTGCTTGGGGGTTAGGGTGATTTAATAGGATTCATTGCGATTGATTCTTTTATTCCCTTGTTTGCAATTGGCTCTCGGTTTTTTCTCTGTGTCCATACAGAATTTAAGTTACATTGAATTTATAATTAAAGGGGAAAGTTTTTAACGGAGAGCTCTGTAATTACTCATTGAAGGGCAGTTTGACCACAGGGAATTGTTGACCCTTCTAAAGTCACAATTTCTAAGTGTTAGAAGTGGAAACTGATTCGGAGCTTTCAAAATGATACTTATTCTTACGTTTCAGTAAGGTACCTTTCCAAAATGTGGTCATGCTAAGTTTTTGAAACATAAAAGCATTAAAGAATTAGGCATTATGTCAGTATCCATGTAAAATAATTTATGGGAATTCTTAGATGATACTCAAAGCTAGGCAGCTTTCTTGCAGTTTGGTAGAGGATCATCATTATTAGTTTGAGAAAAGTAACTATAGACAGGATACACTGAACTCTGCACAGGAAATGGGTAGTGATCAAACTTCAAATAAAATCGTTGTCAGAATAGACCAAATAGAGCTCATCTAGTTTGTTTTAAAACTAGAAGGGGGATTCTTTTGTAGACTTTCCAATAAATCTGTGTGATTTTTATAGAAGTTCTGAGAGTATCCAAGTTCTAATGGAGCAAAAATTGTTGGAAGATAATTAGATCATCTAAAATACAACTTTAAGGAAAAAACTTACCCTAAAAATAAAAGAATAATAAAATATTAAATGACTGGAAACTTGTGATTGTCCACACAACATAAAATATGCAGTGAGCTTGAACTCTGCTTGGTTGGTAAGAGTTTAATAAATTGATCAGCTAATTTGTTATTGTTAAATGGCTTTGGTAGTTTATAACTATACGGAGTGAAAGGCATTGTTAAGCTGTTAAGTCTTGTTAACTTTTAGACACTGACCTCTCTCATCACAAATCTTGGAACATATTTGCTATACTTAAAATAACTACAGTCTAATTTTTTGTATAATGGTCCAAGCATGTGACAATATGAAATATCTGATAGAAGTATAGTTAGGAATGAAATAATTGTTTTTGTGCGTCCCTGCCAGCTTTCCTGGTTTTATAAGGCAGTCAGTTTCAGAATTTCTTCATTGATAATTTTCTTTGCGATATCAAAATATCTCCATTTTTCATAGTCTCTAGTATGTCAAAGGAATATATATATACAAGATGGGAAGAGTTGTAGGAGTGATTTAGCTTTAAAAGAATGAAAGTACTTTAGAAAAAATGTGCATGTAGTTTTAAAGCATTGATCTCTAATATCTGATAGTTAAATGTGGGTCCTCAAAAAATACATATTTTGGGGGGCACCTGGGTGGCTCAGTGGGTTGAGGCCTCTGCCTTTGGTTCAGGTCATGATCCCAGGATCAAGTCCAGCATCAGGCTCTCTGCTCAGCAGGGAGCCTGCTTCCCTTCCTCTCTCTCTCTCCCTGCCTCTCTGCCTAGTTGTGATCTCTGTCTCTGTCTGTCAAGTAGGTAAATAAAATCTTAAAAAAAATACATGTTTTTAAAATATTTTATTTATTTTTTGACAGAGAGAGACATAGCAAGAGAGGGAACATAAGCCAGGGGAGTGGGAGAGGGAGAACAGGCTCCTGTGGAGCAGGGAGCCCCATGCAGGGCTTGATCCCAGGACCCTGGATCATGACCTGTGCGGAAGGCAGATGCTTAACAACTGAGCCACCCAGGCACCCCAGGTCCTCAAAATTTTTTTAAATGTTTTCTGGAGTAGCATTTATCTACTTAAGGACTGTAGTGATAAAATGAGAGTTTGTTGTCAAGTCTAATCTTGAATGATGATTTTGGTACTTGGTTTAGTTTGGAACAGAGAAGTATGATTGAAACACATACTGTATATGCTTTTAATTGTGTTCTCATTTCTCTCAGTGTGTGTAATAATAGGAATGATTCCTTTTATAGAAGAAAAATCTCTAGTTAAGTGACTTTATAGCATCACATTTAAGGGAATGATTTTAATTCAGGTATGTGTCAAAGTAAAGTATGTATATTTATACCATACCATATTACCTATTCTTAACTTCTTTCAGCCTTGACACAGGTCTCAAAGTTGGTTAAAAGATTATAGTAAATGCATAGTCCGTAGGATATAGTAGGTATTCAGTAAGTGTTTCCTTTTTCTCCCAGAGGTTTTTGGAAATTGTGTATCTTTTGTGGAC